ATAATTAATATATTTGTAATGTCTCATAGACATTCTAACAAAACCTAACCTTAAACATAAACGGAAACCAAAATGGCAGCGAATATTTAATTAATGTCTAAAGTTTAATTAAAAATTCGCTACTGTTTATAAATTAATATTTATCATGCCGTGTAATAAAGTATCAAGAAGGCTGACACCTAATCTACATATAATTTTGCTACATTGATGGTTTCCGTCGTCCGATTATCAAATCAATCGTTACTTTCCACATTAGCATCAGTTTTTCAACCTCAAAACTTGAACTGTCAACAAATATGTAAGGAAGCATTAAAACATGTCTCGATTTGGACGAATTCAGCGAGGATATGTCAGTTATGTGAACAGTAAATTTTCTTTGGCACCTGAATGGAATGAAATTAAACGATTGTACTATATTATTGGTTACGTCAAGTACATACTCGAGTAGTATAGACGGACGAACGGCGCGCATAATAATGAATGGTGATTGTAATGTTTGTTTATAGTTTATGAAGATGATGTTCATGATGATTTATTTCTATATAAATAAAATAAAGTGGCGAAGGTTTATAAGTGCATTAATTCAAAACGGATGGAACAATTTCGTTATTTCTTTTTTGTCGTCTTAGCATGGTAGGATATGTAGGATATTTTGGCTTATGAACGTAAATTTTAATCAAAATTAATATTTTTTCCCTACCGTCCGTCAGATACAGATTGAATTGAGAAGAACTGGGAAGAAACAAAAAAAATTCACGTTCACGTAATCATGTGACACCCGTAATACCGCTTATGCATTGTTATTAGAGAGGACTTAGATGTCATGTCTCTTTAAAGATTTATCTAACAGACAACTAGAATAGTTATTATTGAGCAAAATTAATAGCCGTTTTAACGGATTCTAGTATTGAGATCACGTCTAGGCAAATATGATGAGGGACTCTCTCTGGGACGGCCAGAAAATTTGCACAAAATTAATAATAATAATAACCCTGGATAATTGACACAGTGCCATCTAGTCCCACGAAAAGCAGAGCTTGTATAGGTACACATCTTTATTTGAATATACACATATATTCATGAATACAAGTATTTGTACCGTGCGAGGAATCGACACGCCACCATCGGAAGAAAAGCGGTAACCTATAGCGCTAGACCACCGAGGTCTTCTTTTTTGCTTGCATGATCGCATGCATATTGCACAGGTCCGTAAAAATTGAGCATATATACATATGTAACAAACGAAGTATTGTATTGGTGTTTATTATACTAAATCATATAAAAAGTCACGTTTCTAGAAACCTTATTTGACATTTCCTTTTAGAAAATATCACATTATCTTAGTTACAATGTTGCAACACAGACATATGGCCCCATTGGTTATGGATCCCTAAAATACGATCGTAATGATGAATGGATTCTTTTCAACGAAATTGATCAATTTATCAAGACCTCAATATACCTACTGGAAACCCTAGTGAGATGAGTAATTTCCTATCAATCTGTCACTCACTCATAGAAGCTGATCTCGTTTGCTTTTTACGTTACAGACTCTATTAAAACTTAAGAAACACACGATAATAAGCATAAGGTTCGTTTTATAAATAGATTTTAATTTAGTTTGAATGAATATATAAATATTAGTTTGTTTGCTATATTTTTTGTTAAACTGTAGCCTATGTTTGTATCACGTGTTCTTAAAAATCTATATTCTTAAAAAAAGCAGTAAACATAACAAAGTTACAGACAGACACACTTTCACATTTATATTAATATAAGTATGGCGTAATGGGAATGACTTAGAAATATCGTAGTTGGTATAAAGTTTATGTGGCATAGTGTAATGGGACCATCACAATAAATCGTTGCATTTTAAAAAGAATATTCAAAATCGATATAGAATTTGCGAAAATATTTCGTATAATAAACACTAGTCTAATAGAAAATTTTCTCCAATTTAAGTGGGCTTCATATTTTTATTTTGACTTTGTGCTAAGACAAATATGAATAATTGAAATCAGCATATGAAATAAGAATCACTAAAATATGCCATGTTTTTAAAGTGCATATCAAATTGCAAAAGGCAATGCGGTCGCTTTTAGTGGTTATACTAAATTAAACTACAGGTTTGACCAATGTTAATTTTATTGGGACTGCAATTGACTATTTGAAGTTTGCATTTTTTATTTGGGTTGATAAAACTTAGAAATAGGATTATACTATCTACAATAATGAAAATACTATTAAGGCCACTATAAAATGCTTTTCAATTAAAATCTTAATATTTCTACATTATTCAAGAGTAAAATATGGTAGTAATGTAGTGAATATACTTTTTTGATCATAAATAATTCGTGTATCTATTTATAATTTGTATACTTACGTGCGACCGTAGATATAATAAATAACAGTGTAATAATGCCTTTGTGATATTAATACTGTCGAATAAGAAATTGAATAATTCTAATTTTCTTGTCGCAGCCTAAAAATAACAAGGGTTTGCAACGGTTAAGCACGTTTTAAGCAAATATAATTTTCGTGTTTGGTCACGTGCACACGGGGTTTCTTATTACAGTGTTCTAATTTAGGAGGCTTCAGAAACTTTCTAAGATTTTCTGTTGCTACTAATGTTAAACTGAAAAATAATATTTTCTTATTCTATTTTTATATTTATATACTATTATCGGAGTTTGTTTGTGCTTTTTAGATAAATGACATCTTGTATTTATCATCATCATACACGTAATGTAACAAAAATAATGAATGCTGTGTTAGGTAATTTTTGATAGATTTATTATGTTTTTATCAAAACTTATTAACGTATTAAATATTAATTATGATGTACCATCATACTTGTATGGTATATTTAGTATGTCAGTAGAATATAATAGAATATTCTATTTTTATATTTATATACTATTATCAGAGTTTGTTTGTGCTTTTTAGATAAATGACATCTTGTATTTATCATCATCATACAAATTTCGTTAAGATTCGTTTAGCATTTTAGACGGGAAAATGTTACAAGTAGACAGATACATGCTACGTAGTAATAATATGAAAAAATACTATAAAACATAACTACCAAATTATGAATACAAAAGTATTTTTCTTATGATTCAAAGTTTACAAAGTTTATAAGTATGCAGTATAGGCCATGGTTTCGGCTGACCGAATTTAATGAAATTATGGAACGACAAATAAATTATGAAAAACTATCAGGTTATTCTACTGAGAAAAGTTAATACTGACATTCTAGTTAATAAATAACATGATTAATAAAACAAATGACTAAGCAGTATGGGCCGTGCTCTTAGCATATCTGAATTGGAAGAATTTTAAAACATCAAACATGTTTAGAAAACGGCGCCAAATTAAAGCCTCCACATGACAAAGTGAAAAGGAAATTCGTGTGTATTGTTACAAAATTAATTGTAGTCAACACTGAATTTATTGACAAAATGGTTTTAATACGTTTTTATAATGAAATTCATTATCGCGTGCCATTTTGGATTTGGGTAATTTACGCGGTTGTTAATTTTCTCCGCTGTATCAACGTTTTAGCATAATCCGATGGCGGAATAATTGAATATCATTATTGATCGTACTCCATTTAGCCTCAACCAGTATAAACCTGCTAAACTCAGAGATAAACTTTCAGTTATACGATACATGAACTAGAATACGCCACAATCTAAGGGTAAATGAAGATGCTGCGTTTAAAATGGCGTTGTTAGTTTAAAGAAGAAGTATAAACTTAAGCAATCAGCGATCTTATAACTTTTTGATATAAATTTTATATAAACGTTTACATTTTGCAAATTGAGTACATATTTCTATATCTAAATAGAGTACTAATATTGTAAAAAAAGTGAGCGGATTTCGTGTTGAGATAATCTTATATATAAAATTCTCGTGTCAAAATGTTAGTTACCATACTTCTCCGAAATGGCTTGATGAATTTTTATGAAAATGCATATAAATGTTCAGTAGGTACTATCTATTTTTCATACACCTAAGTGATTAGGGATAAAAAAAAAATGTTAGGGGTTAATTTTTTTTTTCTGTAACAATTTTTTTTTGTTTATTATTATAATGTGGCATTAAAATACATACAAGCCTAAATTTTCACCCATCATCAACACCTATTTAGCAATTTTAATTTGTACATAAAACAACATCAGCTAGTTATGTATATTATTATGTTAATATGTTTATATTTACAGAATTCTGCATGGCTATCTCTTTCTCCCCTTACTTCATCTACACAATTCAACTTGTCTTTACACTGTAGATAATGTTTTTGGGTTATTTTCTAAAAATGTACCAAATTTTATGACTCGTGAAAATCATCTGGGTCAGTTCATACTAGCCTGGTGTAATCGGTATAAGGACCAGGCGTATTGTATGGTATAAAACATTGATTGTATAACACCTACCCTCGTTTATTTAGGACAGTAATTTATTGGAGTCCACAGGGTATTAATTTATTATTTCATTTGAATTAGGGTGTCGCCATCGGGCTGCTGGGCGTGCATTTAATATTAATGCTTAGATTTTTTTAATAGCTTTGTAAACAAAGAAAAGCGTACAAGAGAAAAGTGTGAGTTCAATGCTTTAATTTTTTTTAGATTTATTGTTGTGTATAAGGGAAAAAAAATAAATAATGAAATTTATCTAAAGTATATAAATATTTTCAAATGTCTTCCAAAATGTTCTCAACACTCATGTATGTTTGGTTTAAATATTTAATTCTGAACTTAGGCGATTTTGAAGATTTATGTATTGAAAAACATTTTCAAATGTATTTTTACAATACATGATGCTACGGAAAGAAACCTGTTTAAAACATATGTAGTCGGTAAATCACAATTGCTATTCCTATTCCTTAACTTCTAAAAGCTACAATTCTGTTAATTAAGCATATGTATACAGTTTTAAATAAGTTATCTGTGCTGTCGATTAATCGTTTAATAACGATTGTTTTTTTAATGTTTCAGGTCAAAATGGCGTCCACATTTGTTCTACAAATATTCTTAGCAGCTATCGTGCCAGCCTTTGCGGGTATGTAATTATTGATTAATTAGTGTAAATATGGTACCTGTAATGACACATGATTATACCATTGGGTGTACTTTATTAGTGTAATTATGCTATATGAGACATGATTACAATTACGTAGGTACATTGCTAGGAGAGTCTAAAATAACCACTTGGAAACAGGATTCCAAAACGATTCATTTTAATCACAATGTTTAATCATTAATTGTACACGTAGCCTAATTTTTGTTTGTATTTTAAGATCCGTCTTTTATTTTTTTAACGTACTTGCGATGCGTCCCGGCATCGCAAGTATACTTTGCAAATCTTTGATTTCTCGACTTGTTATATACTATTACACGGATGTTTGTCTGTTTGTAACACGTTATTGTATGTACAGTATATATATTTAAAATAACAGAATGGATACAACGACATAAAGAAATAAGTTGTACAATGGCGGACTTATCACAAATGAGGGATTTCTTTCAGTTAACCTTGTATTATACATATAAACCTTCCTCTTGAATCATTCTATGTATTGTTGGAAACTGCATTGAAATTCTTTGCGTAATTTAAAAGATATAAGTGAATAGACAGCAGCGGGGATTTTGTTTTATACTATGTAAATATTAGTTGTTACCTGCCACATTGTTTATTTTCTTAGGTAAAGTCTATGCTCATTCTCGTGATACTATCTCCCTTCGCGTCAAATTTCATTAAAATCAGGTCAGCCGTTTTGTACAGGTAACGGACACACATTTTCGCATATATAATGTTATTAGGAGATTTAGTAATAAAAAAATACTAGATTCAACTACTGTTGAACATACTTTAACACACTGTTTTATAATTTATAGACATACAAAGACGATCCTACTCTGAAAATGTATAATGAAAAATGTTTTTAATCATGTAAGATTTTTTTTAATTGAAAGTTTGTGACATGTGATACTAACCTTATTACTACTAGTTACGGTATTAATTAGACGTTCCACATTTTTATAAACAAGGGGTAAACATTTCTACGTAATTATCTAGTTTTTAATCCCTAACAAATCTATGCGTGCCGTCCTCCACATTGGTCACGGTTCTTTTTTTAATGTCAATAAACATCACGCTAACTCTCTCATTTAATTTCACATTCCATTGCTTATCTGACAGGCACCTGCCCGGTGTTGCTTTGTCATAAAGAGACATGGATGGGATGTTGAGTGTTAAATACGAGTTTAAATCGTTTACCTTTTTTTTTTAATGGTAACAGGCATGACGGGTAGCTCCCGGATACGGCAGGTAGCTACGCACACATTCAAACATTTTTGTGTCGTTAAAGAATAGACCGGACTTGTGGGAATGTGGTTCCGTAGCTGTTAACTGATAACGGTGATATATACTAATTTATATTTTTTTTTGTATGCCTGCAATTCGTTTTGGTTCATTATGATCCTTTTTCTTAAGGTTAAAGGTACCTGCTTATCCCAATACCAAATTTCATTAGAAAGTTTTGAGTTTTTTACCCGTGTATTTAAGTTTACTGATGCTGTTTTTACATATTTGATGTTAAGATAACTAGGTGTATAAATCTAAAATAAAAATGTATGTATAGTATACCTTTGAGTATGTCAAGGTAGGTATTTAACATACGGAATATCTATTTTCTTTATATATGTACTTTTATTCCAAAGCCCGTTTCAAGTACTTTTGTTTGTCTGTACTAATGTTACTAAGAGAAAAAAATTTATGTTATGTTAGTAAATGGGTAAATTTTGGAAATAATTAAAATTTCTTTTATAGACATCAGTGGGTAACGTAGGCTCTTTTTAATAAAAATATAGAGATCAAATATAGGTCAATACAAAACATAAATGATACCGTTTTGGTTTCTTTATACAGAACCCTAAAATGAATTTGAACATGCTGGTCTAGTGTAGAGCATGTAACCTTGTCGAGAGTTTGTGTGAAATTATTATTAGTAAATATAAACAGTACTAAAAATAGTAGGAAGTGAGTAACTACTGATAAATACAAATCAAAGAAATCGTTAGGTAATCTCTATCAAAGTAAAGTAGCTAGATGGAAGATGGAATATACTTTATTTGTATAGAAAAGACATAAAAATATATTTGTTTGTATTTCTAACTGTGATCTAATTATAATTTAAAATCAATAAAATTATTAATAAATGATAGACCGTGACCAGAAAGAAAAGAATATTTTATTTTTAATTATATTTTTTTTATGGCTTTTATACAAAAAGAGGTTTCATGTGCTAACAATATCAAAGAACACATGTACATATAATTTCAATAAGGCGGGAAAGTTATATATTCTAAACTAGAGGTTCTCCCTGGTTTTGTCCGGGTGCTTACAGCGTTCAGAGTTTTATATATATTAACATAAAATGTATGTATCTCCTCCCGGAATAGTGTCTTTCAAATAGTGAAAGAATTTTTCAAATCGGTTCAGTGGTTCTGGAGTTTATTTTCCTCATAACAAAATCCGCTCTCTCTGATAGTAAAAGTAAGTAAATAACTTAGACATGGATTTACTATTATTACTTTATTATTATTTGTTTTCCAAATAAATACTTTTATTAGCTAATAATATATAAATAAAATTAAAACTCATTCAACTCATTATTCATTGACACAGGATCTTGTGGCCACTTGTGCACATCATGTTTATATCACTATCCTTACCGTCCAGTTCGACTAGCTACTTCAGTTGAGAACTGGAAATAAACCATAGAAAATAACAAAAGATAGGTGAACATCTTAGCGATCCATGGGGTCAGCGTGCGGGAGCTGGGTACATCTGTGGTAGAGGGAAACTCCGAGCTTCCCGGTACTTGTGACTCGGTTGTACCTACTAGTAGTCGTAGATTTATGGAGTCCATTGCCAACGTACTTACTCACTCTCTTTCACCGCTCGTATTTTTCTGCCTGCCCTGCCAAACCCGGTAGGAGATTGCTAGTGCAGCTTTAGATATAGGTTATAGTATACAAGTTACTGCATTTTGAGACACGACTAGATCTTATATTCATTTCTTTATTTTAGGAACATTGTCGGTGTAATTTTACATGTTACTAATCATATTATATTGTCCTATGCCAATTAATAATCTTTGCCAATAGTATTACTAGATTAAATTTTCTCATTATTCAATTATAATAAATCAAAGTAATTACGTTACAGTGTTATGGTCATAGCTATACAATACCAGTAAACAGACCAACATACCGATAAGTAATGATATATCTACAGAGCATACATACGAAGTACGGCCATGCACCATTAAAGAATTGGTTACATATGAGTGTTCCAACTAAGATAGTGCTGGAAGAAAACAGGTCAATATCATGCGGTACTTGGAAGATTGTATTTCTCTCGATCCTATTTCGACCATATATAAATTAACCACATCTCCATTTTTAGTAAAGAACTTAATAAATGTAAAAGTAAATAAATTACATATTAAGTAATTATATGTAATTTTATAATTACATATTAAGTACGTTATTAAGCAAAACGAATTAACTGAAACCATACTTTTATTATATTTTGCGATTGCGAAATTCGCTGCTGTAATCATATTAAAATGAGCTTACAATGATTGAAAGTACGGTTTATTTTATAAATGTTAATACGATGCCGCCGATGCAAATTATATCGATTTTATGATCGCGTAATACTCGTAAACTACGCGCTTAACGATTTTGAGATAGTACAGATAATAACATTAGTTTAAATTGTGTGGGAAAATGTTCATTGGTCTGTTATATTGTGCCTTTCTTTTTTGGAAAGTGGTTAGTTAGTTATTCAGTATGTCTCACTAACTTGTGATTGAAAACCTGGACGTTGCTTGCTGTAGTTAGTATAGAAAAACTTTACTAATCAGAAAGATTAGAAAGCGGCTTAGTTTTCCACAGGAATCACTATTTTACAGTCCTTCTATAAAAAAGCGAACAGAAGTAAACTTTGAATAAAGTCATCCGCGTTTCTCCTCTTGTTTTGCCTGATTCTTCTAACAAGGGGTTTATTTATTTATTTAAGATAAGGTACTCAACACACTTACAGATATACCAAAGCGTGTAGTGAGCCAATAATATAACATAATGAATTATGTAATTACTTTAAAAACAACAAACAACACTCAATAAACTTATTAATATTGTCGTGAAAAATATCGACCTCTGGCCGCTCCGAAACCAAGCTATTGAGCAGCGAGATAGCTTGATAAGTGGGAGCAAGCTGGGCAGTGCATGTGCGAACATGTGGTGCCCATAGTAGTCGCAGGTACCGCTGTGGGGCATATAAGGAGCAACGACTTAGGGTTGGTTTGGCTTTATAAGCTGTATTTTGGTTTGAAGGATGACATATAACAGTGAAATAATAAGATCAGAAGTGTTAGGCCTCCGGAATGGCAACGCTTGTAGGGCACCAGAGCCGTCACAGAATTTGATGTTCGTGGCAACTATTGACTGTATGCGTATAGTCAATAGTTGCTACTTACCATTAAATGTCGAAGTTGGGACTTTAATTATGTTAATGGAGTTGTGAATGGTTGGATCCAGAGACATTTTTTTTCCATATTCGTCCATCTCCTTTTCAGTGATGGAACAGGCAAAGATCCTTAGACCGTACAGCCTAGTCTACGTTTAAACTTCTTAATATTTGTACAAGTCATGAGGCCAAAAGCCAATTCTTATGTATGTTCATTCATTATGTTTAGACATTGTAAACAATAAATGTATTTTGAAATGATAACATTTTTTTAACACATTAGCTAACGGCGTTTCTATCCAGCCAATTAAATAAGAAATATTTTTAATATCATGTTTCTTAAATCGCATGACTGGTTCTTAGTAGGTATGGTATTAATAAAATTTAATATCTAGTCGGTTCTTAGAAGCGTTTTCGGTTTTTATGGGCCGTTCAAAACACGCATTACATTCCCGCTCAAATATTGTTTTCGTTTGAATACCTTATAAAATTCTATAAGAAGTATTTACACGTATTACCTACATATCCTTATTAATTCTACTGATATAAATATGATAGTAAATCAATCAATAAAATCAGAATCTTTATTCGGTTAAGTCTATTAGAGACTCTTATAATATGTCAAATGTACCGTCAGTTCAAAGTGCTTTCGAGCTAAGAACTGAAAAGAAACTCGCCTATTATTCTTTTTAAATCAGTTTCTAGATGTTTGTAAAAAGAGAGATATTAGGGAGAATAGTATGATTATTAGTTCTTTATGCACTCATTCTTTGTCATTATAGATAAATTGTGGTGAAATGCAAATGATAGCATATTTGAAATGTAGAATATATGTATCCCAGTGACGCATATGATATTGCAGACAAAAACTAGTACTAAAAATATCAGGCAGTTTGTTACGTCTTGTTGTCTACAGACTTTTTTAAGTTCAAGGCAACGGTGCCCAAAATTTTAGACTTCATTCATAATTATTTGTTGTTATATGTGCGTATTTGAGAATCGGGAGTGATTGAGTGCCTATTCGTTTGAGGTCACATTAGATAACCTTGTTACTTGTAGATGACACAATCACCAAATATACCTACCTCAATATTTAAATCTGTCTGGATCGCTCTGTATCAATAAAATACAGTATTTGTACGTAATACTTTTTTCATTTAGGGATTTTCGCTATTAGGTACGAAGTGTTGAATAGGTGATATGAAATGGAGCTTCTGCCTGCACTAACGGTTTACGGTGGCGGGATACCAGTGTAAGATAAAATGAACATAAGGTCAAGTCATCTAGCTCATCGTGGCAAATTCTCTAAGAATTTGTCAATTTGGTTTCCAGAGGGAACCGCTAGGAGGTCAACCTGATGTGGTATATTGCTAGCACTGGAGTTATTAGTTCACATTACTAATAATCTTTTTCCCCTATTACTAGGTGTCTAGACTCGTAGCACTGTAACCTACGGAGACCTATTCTGCTCGCCCTTTTTTTATAGAGTTCGCCACCTAGGCCCGTCAAGTATAAGAATTGGATGATGTTCTTAGGGGTGATGGTTTTCATCTCCTCAGAATAGAGTGTGTTCCAAAGGAAATATTTGTTTATACATGAGTAGGCTACAACTACATAGGATGCGTTGTGGTGAAATCTGCATATCTTTGTTAAGCACATACCTGAGTTTGCCATGTGTTTATTTAATTTGCAGTATCCAATGAGAAGCAGTCATGATACATTGTATAAGTATGTAATATTTGTAGAATTTCTTTTACCGTGTATGATCAAGTAGCGTCAGTCTGTACACATAAATGAAACAGCACTTTTAAACTACGCAACGGATTTTAATGCAGATTTTAGCTATAGATAGCGTGACTCAAGACGAAGGTTTATAATAAATGTAAAATATATGTACACTCGTACGAAGACGGGGCAGGTAGCTAGTGAAGAAAAAAATAAGAAAAGATTACGGTTAAAAACTGTCTTGGAATTCCCAATAATGTCACTGTGTCATAATACCTAATTTAGTGTCTGATAAATGTTAACAATACAATACGAACTCATGCATTTATAATAATAATATTGATACCTATATAAGAATACCGATATAGAGTGACGACTCGAGTGATTTAAAATCTAGAGATCCATGAGTTCGAATCTGGTTGACAGCAAAAATATCAATTTATAATCATGACTGATTCTCTTGTGATGGAAACACGGTTCTACTTTGATATTGAATAGTACTGTGTTATAAATTCATCGCCTTTTATATGTTTATTTCAAATGTAAAGAGCTGCAGTTCTTTTGCGGGGTAGGCAGCGACAATTGAGTGACATACGCACATCTCTACATGTTTTCGCATAATAATTCGTAACTTATCTCATACATGCACGCCGGCCAAATTTTGTATGATTCATGAGATCATGATTGGTGTATAATTTTATTTTACTATAAAAAATAATATGCATAATTTATTAAATAAAGAACTTTATTTGAAGCGGGAGACGAGTGGAATTTCTGTGATATTGGATAGATGTAGGGTTGGCAACCTTAAATCTTTTTGCCTCTTAAATTTAAAAATCATTATATTGGCAGTAACAGCTTATGTGTAAATTGTTATATTTCGATGATGGGAGAGGGTACAGCGAGGGCGACTGTTATCGAGTTACAATACAATGATTTATAAAAATTGCTTTTATTACTCTGAATTTTTTATGTAACTGGAAGAACAAGCATTCGGCCCACGTAATATAAGTCATAACCGTATAGTTAGTAAGTACATTGCGCTAAATTGCTCTTATTCCGGAGAACTAGATAAAATTAATTTATTTAAAAAAAGGCTTAAAGAACTATTGACCGACAAAGCTTATTATACAGTAAAAGAATTTTTAACAGACGTACTATAGGAGCTAACTGGACACTACAACAAATCTAAATTTTAAATTTTATTATTGGAATGAGTCATCTACGAAATTGCCATACTCTTTAAACAGAGTCCATGTGTATTGTTAATTTATCATATGTAAATTTATGTATACGCATCTGCAATTATAAATAAATAAATAACATTGATTCTGCGTCCTATAATTTCACGGCCATATATCAGCCTTCAACCAAAACTGCTGCTTAACAGCTAAAATAGTGAAGACAGAGGTAATCAATATACTTACAGACTTAGCACAAAGTCCATTCCGCCCGAATAAAGAAATGTGGTACTCTTTTTAGGGTCTTCCTACAGTTGGCAACCCTGGTAGGTACTAACAACCTCGAATTATTGGGTGCGTCATTGAAGCACAAAATGTGTGGGTAACAAGATATCAAGGCCGCCAGGATTGCTCTTAATATTTTTATTAGCCATCCAATCTTATGACTGTTTGGAATGCATATTGCGTGATTTTAATTTGGTAGTATGTTTTTATTATCCACCGCTTGTTTTTTTCCATTTTGATTACAGTACGTTGTGCATTATTAAAAATAATTAAAATGTAATTTAATTCTAGAAATCAGCTTCGTTGTTCGCCCTAGAGAAGGTATTAATTATTTATATTAATGAATAATGCAAGAGTTAGTATGAATTCTGGGATTAATTTATATGGGAAATATTTTTTTTATATATTATAGCCAAAAGGTTGAAGAATGTTATAGACTACTAGCTATCCCGCGCAACTTCGTCTGCATCACACTTTCCTGACATTTATACATTATCTATACATATAAATAAAATTAGAGTGTCTGTTTGTAATATTGAAATAACCGTTTATTACTACATGCATATGAATATAAATACGGTACATACACCAATATATCATTTTTTTAAATTTTTATCTGTCTGTCTGTCGGTCTGTTTGTTCCGGCTAATCTCTGAAATGTCGGGACCGATTTTGACGGGACTTTTTTTTGACAGGTAGCTGATGTAATGTAATGATAAGGGAACTTAGGCTACTTTTATTTTAGAAAAAATATTTTATTTTAGATAAATAATTTAAAACTTGTCGCGGGTGCAGCTAGTATTATATAAATTTTCATAATCAATATAAATGCTCACATTGTCTCTAAATTATAATATGTTTGTATTATCTGTGCAATAAAGAATATATATTAAAAAAATTTCGCCCAATTTATGTAATATCTTTTTTTCTTCTTCTTTAAATTATGGCCTATATGTTATTCTGATATATGAGCTACTATAATTTACAAACATCCATCCATACTCACAAATTTTCGCGTTTATAATAATAATAAGAAGATTTATCATAATGCTACGACTTTTAGTAAAACGAAAAAAGTTTGATGGAATACTTAGACAAAACGAACTAGGATATGCTATAGCAATTTTGTCGGATTTTATTCTTATTAAGTCTTGTCTCCAAAAAAAAGACAATTTTTATTATTAAGTCTTGTCTCCTTATCTTTTTAGTCTTAAATTATATTCTTATGTTACAGATATTCAAATGAAGTTCACAAAATATCCTGAGTCGGTGATAGCACCTGTGGGTTCTAACGTCACATTTGAGTGTGAAGTGACGGTGCCTGGTGAACGGCTGACGTGGCGCTGGAACCAAGCTGACCACATAGAGAACAGCTGGACTGAGATTGCTGGGATCACCGATAGGAACATCTATACTAAACTAAATGTGGAAGTTAAAGAAGACACTATAGATACTTTGTATCAGGTAACTAACTGCTTTTGTATGCAATAGAGCCGGTGACAGCCCTCGAGGAAAGGGATTATTATTAAAGTGGACAGATGACCCTATTGTTAGCAATGTACCATGTCAGGTTGGCTCCACGCAGTTCACCCTGGAAACCGTCGTATTTCATTACCATTTGCCAAGATTTATATATAAATATAGGCCTGGGATATAATTACGCACCACGCATTAAAGCACCTGCCTGCACTAATGGTATACGCTTACAGGGCACGAGGAGACGATGATAGCGTCAGCATGAATCTGATCTGTTCGCCTATCGTGGCTAATTCACCAGGAATTAACCATGATGGATTCCACAAGAGCCGTTTAGGCCGTCCTGTCATGATATACATTGCTAGCTGACCCCATTACTAATGATCTCTTTTCCCCGTTCCTTTTATGAAGTTATTTCCGTGTAGTATATTCAAAAGAATCCTTTTGAAGATGGCAATACCTATTCTAGACAGTAGGTACATACAACATTCCAAATTTAGACGTCGAAATGTAACAAAAAACTGGTTAGTAAAGTCTCTTTGTATAAATTAAATACAGTTGGGTACAAGATTCCTGAATAAAAATTAAATGTAAGAATTATTTTTTTTGGCCTGTTATTAAATACTATCTTCTGTTCCCTACTTCGTCCGAGTGACTTTAAGTCACCGGGATAAAGCCTATGGTCTTCTTCATCCCAATCAAGCAAACACATTTCACGTTTATAATAGTAGTTGGGATGTCAACAATGTTCGTGTTTCCTTGCATTTTTTTTATATTTTATGAACTAAAATTGATGACAAAATTCCATTATAGTAATCCTGCTATAATGCAGATAGAAATAATGCATGCTAAATGACTATATTGCTATGTGGTGGTGATGGTAATGGTTTAATGCTGTCTAAGTGGGAACGATAGCGAAATCTCTCTACAGTCTTCTAAAAGATCTTAGCTTGTATAGAACTGAAGTAAGTTTTATAATAGAACGTGTATCTAAAGCAGCACTAGTAGGCTTCTACTAGATTTGGCTGAGTAGGGAAAGAAACAGCAGCGGTGAAGATTAACGTAAATCGGCCAAAGGCTACGGGGTTACAATTCCCGGGAACTGCTCGGAGTTTCGCCTTTCTGCCACACGATGGACCCGGCACCCTTGCGTCTAATTCATAGAACACTAACAAGTTCGTTTTTCTGTTTTCAGTGTGTCGTTTGGTACGGAGCCATCAGTCTAGTGTCAGTCCCTGCAAAACTGACGGTTGCAAAAATAAGTCCTACCAAGATTAGTACTAGGAAGCGAGTTATAACAGCACCTCCACATAACACGGTGGCGCTACACTGCAAGGAGCCAATGTCAGAACCACCTGCTGTAATAAAATGGTGGAGAGAAACGAAGGTGGGTTTTATTTACTAACATATTTAAATTTTTATGTGACAGATATCGTACAAAGTTATCGGGCGGGTAATCATTGTCACTTATTTTTTCTAATACGACGTTGTGTTCTTAATTAAATAATAAAGGTCTTTATAAATATAATTGGTTGTTTCTCAATTAAGAAACAACAATACAACCGCTAACTAAGATACTGGCAACATTTTCACTCTGAGTGGCTATAATAAAAATAATTTTAATTTGTAAAATAAAATAATTTGTTTATTTTTGCTAATTTTGAATTTAAATTTTAGAATATAAGAAAACAAATTGAAACTCGGCATGGAGTACTAGTTATACATAATGCAACCGTTGAGGACAGCGGTACATATATTTGTTCGGCTACAAACGAATTGAGCAGGGGATCTAGCCCACCGGAGATTATAGTTCTGAAGATCGAACGCGATGACGGCCACACAAGGTAAGCTCTTTTGCTTTGTTCAACCGCTTTCGCACCAATTTCAAAATATAAAGGTAAATTCACACTGTTCTGTATCCAATTTACCGTATTATTTTTGTATAAAGGTTCATGTAAAGAGTATTCTTATTTTAATCTAAACTTTGGGAAAGTTCCATTCTTGATTCTAATCTCTGTAGATATTTTAATCTTTTTCATTATTGTTATAAATCGTGTCATTTAGTATACTTTATGATCTCGCCAACTATCACTGTGTGATTAAGAGAATCGAGAAAGTACGAATATCATAATTCCAATATCGATAAATCGAAATTAGCATTGTAAATAATTCTCTATTTATTCTCAGATAGTTTAGGGGCATAGTAATAAACTAACCTGATAGATGATAGATCTAGTGGACTAAGTTCGAACGTAGCGCAGCCGATAACAAAATAATTTCGTATCCATTTATATTTTATTAAATTAGCAGAAAAATGATGAAGAATAATAATGTAAAAAAACATAAGCTTTATAAAATTAAATAGCATTTAGCAGTATACATATGTTGTGTTGTGTTCATTTATTTATTGTTGTTTCTCGCGCATTGTCCTGTTCATGTATACATACCTTATATAGCAGAGTGAGTCCATTTCCGACTAGAACTAAAAACGATTCTGTGAAATCAGTTTTGTAATAGAAAGGAATCTCGTTTAGGAGCTGCACTGTCAAAGATACACAAACAAAGGATTTGTAGCCTTTGTCTTTTGTACGTAAGATTTTTAAAACTCTACCTCCTATTTTGTTTGTTTTCAAAAACGTCAGCGATTAGATGGAATCAGCTGCATCTTTTCTAAGTTTCTAAGTACTCTAAGTTATATTCTGTACTAGCTGACGCATGTAGCTTCTTCTACATTTCATTGTCTTCTTTTTGCATCATTTTACATTGATGTCCTCTTATTTTTAGCAGCATGATGTTATAACCTCTAGTATTCCTCGATGAATGGTTTATCCAAAACAATTTTTTTTATAATTCTAACCAATAGTGACAAAGATAATTTGTATGTTTACAAAACAACCAAACTCTTTGCCTTTATAATACTAGTCAAGATTAGGCGTATTGGCTCGTAGCCCTTTACGAAAATCAGCCGCAGAAAATGGTTAAATTTTCGGAATGGCATTGCAGATTGCAGAGGACAGATTATGTAGTTAGGAACATTGAGGCATTATCTACTTACGTTATTATGTCACATACGTAGTGCAATAGTGAAAAGAACTAAAAATATTAATTTTCTATTATTAGACTTTAAAACTAAACCTTTAGGCTGTATTTTACAAAAATTTCAAATTTTAAGTTAATCTAGTATTATATTAGGTATGCGATACATTGCATTTATATATGTTTTATTACATAATGTCTATATATCTATAGTTAAGTAAAAATGTACTAATTTTAATACGTGACGCAAAAACTTTGTATCCTTGTTTCGAGAAAATAATAAGTGGTAGGATATTTAAAAAAAATAATACATATTAAATTATACATATATATATATAATACCAACAATAGAATTGCATAAATAACTAAACTGAAAAATGTTCAACATTAATTTTTTTTATTTAAATAAGTCTCCCTAAGTATGGGTTTACTTTATATTTATTTATTCAAGATATATGGGTAACAATTGCTGGTATAAATATAGGTATTAAAGGTACTCTATGATCATTATACATTTTTTCCACGTTCTAATTAAAGCAGTTAAAAAATGAACATCTCTTTCTAGATTCCTTGAAAGAGAAGATGAATTGGGACCAGTGGACAATAAGAGCGTGATAACTGTGTCCGTGAAAATAAACGGCACTGTGCGATTGTGGTGTGATGCAGTCGGTTCTCCACCACCTCGTATATCCTGGAGTCATGAGAAGAAGGACCTATCGCACATGCATGGCCACGTGTTGACAATACCCAAATTAAGCGCGGCTGATGAGGTTTGTTTTGTAATTACTATGTGCCTACGCTTGTAATATTTCTGTCAACACACGGTACCCTTCTATTTGTTTATGTCTCCACAAAACTTAGATTTGAGTTCAATATAACCCAGTCCACGTTACGACTATGCGCTGAGTGTACGCGCTACTAATAAGCTATCTAGGACACTCTCTAATAAACTTTACGAATGTTTTTATTACATTTGTATACTCACTACCTACATACTACAGGAAACAAATATATTAAGTAGCGATAACTGAGTGAGGTGATAACCATCACCACGCTACAACTATCTATGTATCTTCTAGTCAGATTAATTATGGAGTAGGCAGTAAAAATGGATACCACTAGCTTCGATCTGTCTGACCTTGAATTTTGAGTCGTTGATATTTATAACTGTACTGTTTGGCTTCCTAATTATCAGCTCTCAGTCACACACCACTGTTCTCACTCGTTATTCACAACTTAATGCCCTCATGACACCAGCAGTGTGCGCTAGAGACGACATAATATTTCCTTCTCTTTCCCACATATACTACAATAACAAAGTATTTTTTATCTGTGTTTGTAAATGCCTATATGTCAATCTAATACATGTTTACATACTATCAAAGCCACAGATTAAAAATTGAAAAATCTATATAAAGAATGTGTTTTCAGGGTGTATATCACTGCATGGCTAACAGAGTACGTCGGTCGTGGAGGGTGGTTGCATTGCAACCTCCCCGCTGGGAGGGCGCTGTGGGGAACGTGAGTGCGTGCGAGGGAAGTGTCGCGGAGGTTGCGTGCGGGACGCCCCGGGGACAACCACCGCCCAAAGTTCACTGGTTGCTCAATGCGGAACCACTGAAATTCGGGAAAGGAATTCAAGCCAACGGTGAGAACACTTATATACAATTAAATTAAATGGTAATTCCGAAACGATACGATATTAAATCCTTCAGGAAAGGAGGTTATTCCTTCTTAAAAGGTCGGCAACGCACTTGCAAGTCTCCTGGTGTTGCGAGTGCTCATGGGCAGAAGGCAGAAGGGTATATTAAGGTTTCTTAAGGGTCGGCAACGCGCACGTGACACCCCTGGTGTTTCAGACGTTTGATAGTTGGGCCGTATACTTGTTTGCCACCTATGTGGTATAAAAAAAAACCTGTGTCACCTTCAATCTGAACACATAAAGCAAGCTGCTTTGTGATTGAAATAGTTAAAACAAAGCTGTCCAAACAGACGACTTTTTATAAAGTCTATCTAAATGCGATAATAAGGATGTTGTGGATATGAAATTTCGGATACGGATAGGTTTCGAATATAGGAATGATTATTATATTGGATACGGATGCCGATATGAAATTAATTCGGATCATCCGTTAGTTTCAGATAATTTCGGTTACGGATATTAATTTTTTAAGTAATTTCAAAAGTAAAATACAAATAGCTAATAAAATGGTAATATAACGTGTCTCAATTAGGCTCCGCTATTATTCGAAACTTATTTCGGATTCGGTTACGGTTACGAATATTTTTTATATCGCATATCCGATAGTTTTGGTTACGAATTCGGAGCTCCCTAACATCCCTGGTGATAATTATATGTGTATATTTCCTAAGAGCACTCATGTCAAAAGTGGTTTTCAAAAAGAGGTATGAAAATTATTTTGATACAAATATTTAAAAAAATAACGGTGAACAAGCATGCATTATCTCATCACCAAGGTATGACATATCAGGTTTCAATGACGTGAGTACTAATTTTGTACTGTTTTATATTCTCTTTATGGTTGTATATTCGTCATACATATCGTTTATTCAGTTTTAAACAGAGCACAGATAATATAGATAAGATATAATAAAAAAACGTTTGCGGTTGTTTTAGCCCTGATAAAATGCTAATTATAGATGTGAATATTATTTATATATATTTTATACATCTTTAAATATAATTACATCAGTTTCTTCTAAATGCTAGCTACATAAGTATTAAAATATATTTGTCACTAATACTGTAAATGGGTGAGTTTAATTGTTACGATTTTATGCCTTGATGGCTTAACAAATTCTCATGAAATTTGTAGAAAGTGTAGAGCGCTTGGAATTGCGAAGCATTTATATTTATGTTCATTATATTAGGTAATTGTATACTCATATTTAGTAAATAGTGTTATTAAAATGACTTCAATACTTTAAGTCTACTTACGACTGTAATATTTTTATATATAAGTGTCTGGCCAGGTAATGGTAAGTGGTAACTATCGCCTATATAGATGAATGATGATGTAAGGACTTTCAAAATCTGTTTAATATCGATTGACTATCTAGTACGAACAGAAACTAATTAAAGTCTTAAGTAAATAGCTGGAAAAATGGCCCGGCCCGACCCAGGAAAGATTGTTCTGGCGAAATTAGAAGTGCCGACCCCCACATTAAGTGGCACAGAGCTGAAGAAGACGAGGAACTAAATTTAAATCTTCCACGACAATACTAAATATTATAAAAAACTGTGCAATACTAAAAAAAATCATTGTCGGATCAGCAATACTGGATTACACCAAACATCTAAAGTCACAAACTTTACCTCATTATAATATTAATATAGATAATCTGCTGTCTATAAGATAAAGGGTTTTACTAATCGCATTATATTACTAAATCTAAGGTTACAAATCCTAAACCCCATTGTAGCCGCATATTCAATGATATTCCATACACCTACATGTTGTATTGAAGTATTGTGGAACTTCGAATTACGTATACATATATATTAACGTATATTCAACATGAGTATATATGGATATGTAAGTTGAAGAAGGACTGACGCAATATTCTTACCTATTCAATTCGAAAAAGGACGTCTGAAAATATTGTGGGTTCGAATATCGTACCAGCACTACCTCCCTGTCGATACTAATATTATAAATTCGACACCATGTCTATCTGTGCGTTAACACCTTTTCACTTTTGAATACGGATATGTATTATGAAGACAGACAATAATTTTGGTTCAAATATACAGAGGAAGTCGCGTGTAGTAGTATGTAGCTGGTATATTATAAAACTTATGAATTTGTATTAAATTGTAGTTTGTATTATTATAAAATCACAACATTTGTTTGAAAACAGCAGCTACTAAGATTTTTTATAATTTTTTGATTGAATCTGCATTATGAATATTGCTTCAGAATTTAAAAGAGAATGTATAAAAAAAGAAATAATTCAATAAATTTCTATGAAAGATTTGAATTCTATAGCTTATAGATAAAAAATTAAAATGATATCAAAATCTGGAATTTAACTTTAAATGAGATTAATTATATGAAATAACATAATTTAGTGAATATAATATGTTTATTTAATTATATAGTATAGTTAGTTGTTAGTTATATATACATAGTTGCAAAAAAGCATTATTTTTCTTACTCTTTTCGTGTAAGTATTGATTTAACTACTCGAAAAGAGAGAGAGAGAGAGACGAGAGATACTGTGTAATATTTTTTTTATTTACTTTGTTCCTAAAGTTTCTAAGCAATAAAGAATTATTCTTATTGATATTGATTTGTATATAAACAACAAAATTATTATATAATCACAGAGTCAGAGAGAAACACAATTACAGTGAAATAACTCAAATTGCTGTTGTTTTGTTTGTTTTGTACGCAAATAACTGTAAACGTACCCTGGACGAAATCAGAAATAATTTTATTTATTTAATAATGAAAAGTAAATTACAAAGTCAGCGCGGAGTTTGGTGAACGCAGCAGCAAACCAACAGAAGTTTGATTAACCAGCTTTCTTTCCTAGTTCTTTATATTATCTACCTACATCTAAAGAGATTAGTTTCTGTCTTCCCAGCGGTTTTAATGTTGTTACGGCTTCGTCTGTTCATAATAATTTATATGTTTATTACGTTCTGACAGTGGGTAATGGTTTTTTTTTTAAAGACAAAGCAAGGTCAATTAAATTCTTTATTTTATTCTATTGAAATTAAGAAACTAGATCGATTCGATATTATAAGTATACTAGCTGTACCCGTGGTTTCACTCGCGTGAAATATATAGCCTATATGGTATTCTGATGTATAAGCTATGTTGCTGTAAAGTGTAGTTTTTGCGTGAAAGAGTAACAAATTAATTTATTAATTTACTAAATTATTACTGTATAGTTGGCTAAAATAAAAAAATAAAGCAGGAAAAAGAGAATTTAACAGTAAAGTAGCCTTATGTGAACGATGCAGTGTTTATTTTTTTTAAATTATTTTGAAAACCCTGTGATTAGGTTTTAGGAAAGCTATAATTAGTAAATATTTTGAAGTGTTAATTTTTTTATTTTATTAACTTTATTTTTTCTTATTAGTAATTCTGATTTTTTTATTTAATATTCTATTCCTTTTTTTAAATTTATTTTGTTATTGTTGTAGATTCTGTGTTGCACATCGACCGTGCAGAGAAACGCCATGCGGGCATAGTGCAGTGTTTCGCGTGCAACCCCCTCGGTTGTGCGTACGACGGCACTCTGCTTACTGTCGTACCTATGCAGATATCTGATGAGGTAAACAATTAAGTAACCCTGGACACATAAATAACTAAACTGCTAAAAATTATTATATTGATACACGAAATAAACATTTTTACAACAACGCGAACGGAGGAATATGAATAAACTATAAGTATGCGAAATTTCATATTCCACCATTTGTGCAGTGTTCGTAAAAAGGGGTACAAAATTTTACAAAATTAATGCTAATACTTTTTTAAACTTACTCAAAAAAAATACGTTAAATCAATAAAAAAAAAAAACATTATACACGACCATATATGTATTTAAAATATATGTAATTATTATTGCTTTTTAAAAGATCATTTCGTATTTTTTATTACGGTCGAATTTCGACCACTTCTTTGAATAACTCTAAAACGCGACGTTACTAGGTGAAAGTACTAAGTAACAGATGGGTATATCTATCTGAATATATGTTTTTGTAATTAAATATACAAACAGTGCCGTAATGTGGTCTCTCCCCGCCTGGGGGCAATCCGAAATAGGCCGTCTGCTCTATTATAATTATTAGTAAAAAATATGAAATCAAATAAAGCAGGTTAATTATATAATTAAGCTGTTGCTTTAGTTGATATTAGTTCATTTTATTTATATAAAAACTAATATTTATATAGTCATGACCCCTCTGCTTACCCCTTGTTACGCCTCTGAATGCAAATTCTTGTATTATGCAGGAATTGAAGCCGTGACCATCATAAATAAATATATTATTTTATAAAATAATTTCTCATTTATGTTATCCACTGCAGTGCATGATAATCCCCTCATCAGAGGAAGTTTTGGATTAATCGAGTCGTATGCATGTATTTAAAATAGTATTCTGAGCTATTACAACAGTCACATATACGGCCTTGGTGGTGTAGCCGTTTAGCACACCGCTTTACTTTGATGGTCGCGGGTTCGATTCTTTGCACGATACAAACATTTGTATTCGTGAATAAGATTGTTTGAGTTGGTCTGGTTATTTTCTACGTGTTTATTATGTATGTATTTATAAAATATATATAGTTAAGCATATTTATCAGTTGTTGGTACCTACACATAACACAAACTCTGCTTAGTTTGTCCAGTACAGGGTTATTATTATTAGCGATGTAAATCTTTACTTTATTGTTATAGGAATATTTGGCAGAAGCTCCAAAAACACTACATTCATCTCAACATAACAAAAAACACCGAAAACGGAGACGTAAGTGATTATTGGTTTTGATCAATAAACTAACAATGGAAAATCTTACTCATTCAATTTAATGAAAATTTCAGGACATTATCATTAGGGCACATGCCATTACAACAGTAATAACAGAGTAGAGGGTAGTCAGAGACATCGTCAGTAGTCGATGTCGTGGTGAACGCAATATTTGTAAATTACTGTAATATTTTCTAAATGAGAGTTTCTAATTAATATGACGAGAGTAGTATAGAAATAAGAATTCAATAGATTTTATTTTATTATGTTAATCATATTATTTTTAATTTCTTCATTAATTAAAATTCAATTTTACATTGTATTTTCTTATTTCAGCACCTACTTTAGTGCCTCCATCTCGGCCAAATATAACGCGATTCTCCGATGACAGTGTCATACTGAGCTGGTCCCACCAAAATATTGGCTTGCCCGTCGAATTCTATAAGGTAATCACAGAAATATAAACGTCTATATAATTGTAACAGTTTGTTTTTGTTATGTCTGAAGTCATCCGAACTTCAACTGCCAATTATTGTTGCATATAGTTGTTCCACAAGGAACAATTTTGGGACCCTTGCTTACCTAGTGCTAGTACCTTGAAGCAAATTTAAGGTTATAAGGACCTGAAATTGTTGTATACAAATATTATATACGCATCAAACCACAATATTTTTGAAATGAACCAGTACAGTCGCTAAATTATGGTAATACAGAAAACTTTATATATATGTATATTTCAGATCCAATACAGAGAGGTGACAAACTCAAGTAACGGGAATGATTGGCAAACGGACAATACACGGATATCACACTTTACTCATTCGTACCAAATAGATGGACTTGTACCTAATACTTATTACAAGTAAGTTAACCTGACTTTATAAATGTCGTATCCCGTACAACAAAATATACGGTGGAACTTTTTAGTGTACGTTTAGAGAAAATTCAAGTCTTAGTCTTAATATTAATCGTCAATGTAGGGTTTAGGTACGCTATATAAAATAAAAGCACTACGTGTAGTACTTTTATTTTATATAGCGTACCTATAAGCCCTAATTTACTTCGATCTTCAAAAAAGTCACCTGTATAAAACATGATTTTTATGTAACTAGAATAAACATCCTAACTGTTCATCTGGTGCAAAGTGGTAACCGTGACCTATATAATCATGTCCCGACCGAAGTACTCCAAGGACTAAGATGTTATGCATCTCTATATTTCATTGCTATATCCCATGGAGACATTGTTTGCAAAGAAGCTTTTTTGCAGCTTGCAATGGGCTAGACTAAGGACCTTCGCAGGCGATTGTATACATAGTCTACATTTGATGAAAACGTTACAATATTTACATTTATGCATGATGGTTTCTTATTCATATGTACCCTTGTTATAACACATTATGTTTATCAGGTTTCGAGTAGCAGCGGTGTATTCAAATAAAGACAATAAGCAAGGGAAAAGCAGCAGTAAATTTTTCCTACAGAAAGGTACTTTTCAAGCACCCGCCACACCGGTACTCACAGACGTGGACCCCGTATCGCCTAATAGTGTACGACTATCATGGACGGTAAGTTTTACTATAAAGGTCAATCATATATTTTTTTGTATACAAATCGTTTATAAGTTGCATTGAAATGCAAAGAAGCTATCTCAAATTAGTAACAAACTCTTAATTGATTTTGAATAAAGGTATGGAAGTATATTTTAATTTTATTAATCCAATTCGTATTTAATATAAAAGAATGTGTAATTAATAAGATACCTCCATATTACTCCGTAACATGAGATGTTAGAAGTACCTTATTATGTCACGACTGAGCACCGTTCTCTTTGGTACAAAAAGCCAGTTTACGCGAAGTACGTAATGTTTGACTTCTTATTAACTTATCTGTTTATTTTATTGTTGATCCCTGTAGATCTTTATTTCTCATACCGGATCCATTACGGTGTAGACATAGAAAACCGAGTGATTGATCACGCGTGAATATACGTTTCGTGTAAAGGATGCTAATGGCACTTGTGTTACTAAACGAGTGCAGGCACAACAAAACGATAGAACCGGCAGCGTCCCCATCTAATGATTTTGAAACGAACCTCAGCTGATATATAATAGTAACATTTCTGTGTAGAGGTATCGTATTTTGAAACTTGTTTTACCAGTGGAACCGAGCGGGCGGCGTGATGCCGGAGGGGTTCTACGTGTGCTACCGCACGGTGTCGAGCGCGGGCGCATACGAGAAGGCGGCCGTGGGCGGCGGGCCGGGCGCTCGCACCGCGCTCGTGCCGCACCTGCTGCCCGACACCGCCTACGAGTTCAAGATCTGGGCCTACACCGCGCAGGCGCCCTCCAACTTCAGTCTCATCAAGGTACCCGACCTCGATGACCCGACCGATGTGGGGTGTCTCTTTGGAGCCATCCATTTATTACGTCACACGTTCGATGCAGAGCAGGAGGAAGGTTTTCGATAAAGTGTGACAAGAGGAGGTGTCCTAATATTCGCTACGTCACATTTGGAGGAGAGAGGAGTTTAACGCAGTGTGACAAAAGGGTGGGAGGTATACTAAATTTCGTGGCGTCACTTTTAGCTTAGGGAGGAGTGCTGTAATGTGACAAGCTAAATTTCGTTGTTTTGTAAATCTAATCTAACAATGAAAATTCGAAATTTGTACTATTAATGAAAATAGTTCAAATTTACTTGTCACTGTAGAGAGTCTCTCATAAATTTGAGCAACTGTAACAAGGACAAGTAGTATCATGCGTGTTTTCGCGCGTTTTTGTAAAATTAGACAAAAATACATAATAAGCAAATCAAACCGCGTGCACTCCTGATCGCGTATGAATTTACGTGTTAGTAACTGTAGCGAATTGTGGTAGTACTTTTGTTGCCGTGCGATTGCAGGCACTACAAAAAGATAGCAGTGGCAGCGCCACCAGGCAATATTTTTTACTATCACGAATTATAATTGATAATAATGGAATGGTGCACCCGCCTGCGCTGACGGTTTACGCTGGCGGGGCATCAGTGGAGGATGGTAAGATGAGTATGAGCTCAGGTCAATTAGCCCAACATGACAAAATCTCCACGAAGTTGTAATGATGGTTTCCAGGGGAACCGCGTGGAGGTCAACCTGACACATTGCTAGCTTCAGCTCATCAGTCCACATTACTATCCCTTTTTTCCTCCAACTGTTACATTACAGTATAAAATAAAATATTTCTATGTTCTTTATATACAGATAAAATAAAATATAAAATAATTCTTTATATACAGTATAAAATAAAATATTTCTATGTTCTTTATTTACACCTCTGTATATGAAGGACTTAGAAATATTTTATTCAATTAACTTGCTTTATGCTACGGCGCTACCTTACAAACTAACGTCTTAATAATATTAGTAGGAATTATGAAGGAATGCTAAGTTTTCTATATATAATATATATGTAACATTTTGTTGCTGCTATGTTTACATTCGACAAACAGTGTTACAATAACCCGTTGTTATATTTGAAGTCCCAGCGTACGTCTGAGACGTATTGAAGCAGTGTTTACACATGTTTGTCAACTGGAAATGCTATCTCAGATCATCCCAGTCCCACACAAGGGAACGCATTCAAGCTATTGAAGTAACATTTCTATATATTAGTCCAGCCCAGTGCTTGGGTCTTGTGGTTTTCGTTAGTAGTCTAAGTATTATGAAATTAAAAACATTAATGATATGTAGTTACAAATAAAAAAATAAATTGTAGCTAACCATCACGATCAGATTGAACAATAAAAAACATTATCAACTTACGGTGCTAAAGACAGACAAGTCACTTATAAAATTTATTTATTTTTGAATAAGTTGTTCAGGAAGAATCTGTTACTGTTGTTGATTTTTAAACAATTGGTGGTTGGTAAACAATTACAAAGGAGCTCCAAAATACCCATACTTAACTTGTGTTAACGAGATTATATATTATGTTCAGGTTAATTTATTGAAACTTTCATTTATTTTTATGACTACTATAATAACTGTATTATAGTAGTCATAAAAATAAATGAAAGTTTCATTTTTGGACATAATTTTCATCCCTTTAAAGGGATGAAAGTTCTCATATAATAGATAATGTATCTTCCATCATTGTAATCCCAGATAGGGTAGTTCAAGGCATTGTCGAATAGGCATTAAGTTTTAACAATGTAATTAAGTTTTCTGCGCACAAAAATCGAATTCTCTCAATACTTGGCGTCTTGTCACTCGTATCCAATAGTGAGGACTGACGCTCATCAAAAGGAAACGACATAAAAAAAAGAATAATTGTTGCCGTCTTGGTGAACGTGTGAACACTTGACATGCTGACATTTCGCTAAGAACATCTTGAAATGCGACAGAAGAGGAGACGGCACTAATCCCAGTCGCTATATAATATTTTACAACGAAAGCAAATACAATTTGCAAAATACGTAATGCTAACAATTGCATTTCTAGAATATAGATGGAGTTTATGTTGGAGCGTGTCTGGTTTCCTACTGCGCAATCATAATTCGTAGCTACAGCATTTTCGCTCCGAGATAATGCTGGTGTAGGAATCTGATGCTTACAAATGGATGCTTTGCAACCCAAATAATATATGTATGTAATATTTACTACGTTTCCGAGATATCAGTTTGTACCCTACTTTGGAAGATATTCACTTCTATTTACCAAAAATTATAGCATCTATAATAGTACAGTATAGCAGTGGTGGTATATGTAGTAAAACTCGAGTAATATTTATTTGCTTTTAAAGTTTTCATAATAATAACCTCGTTATAGTTGGAATTGATGAAGGGACATGCTGATGAAGTAGAGAAAAAAAGGGACGAAACGGATGAGAAACAAAATGTTTTTATATTTACAGTCTATCACGTAGGTCTTTTAAATTAGGTACTTAGTGGCGATTATAACCTATGTTATGTATTGATTTTTGTCTATGGTCTCTACTACTCAAATCTAAAACTCTTTGGTAATTTTCACTGTGTACTTCTTAATTCTTTTATTAAATCATAATAAAAAAGGCATTTTTTAACATTTTTCTTATAAAATTTTTTGGGAAACTAAAATTATAGTAACTTCAACAAAGTATTGGGGAATTTTAAGGTACAAAGTTTTTGCTTCACGTACTAATGTAATGATTCCTCATTTTAAGAAGAGTGATGAAAGAAAAATATGTTGTCAGTTGGGTAAGACGCTGCGGGACAGCGCGATGGAGGAGGCGACGCGGGTCGCTCCCGAGGAGGGAGCCCCTTCGGGGGCGGGCGCGGGGGCGGCGGCGGGGGCGGGCGCGGGGGCGGGCGCGGGCGGCGCGGGGGGCGCGGGCGGCGGCGCGGGGCTGCTGACGGGCGGCGTGCTGGGCGCGGCCGCGGTGCTGCTGCTGCTCGCAGCCACCTTCGTGCTGTGCCGCCGCGCCAGGAGGCCCACAGACAGTAACTATGCCTATCATACCTATTGTAAGCGTCAACGCCGACGTTCGAGAGCCCACCCCGCTAAATCAGTGCAATAAAAGTCCTCAAACGATAAGAAATCTCACTGAAGAACAATTTAATAAACTTGAGCCACTCCAAAACATTTCTATACGATTTATTTATTCTTTTTGTTTGTATAAAAAAAAACTAGCTGACCCGGCAAACGTTGTATTGCTATATAAATCAATGTACTAATATCGCTATTAAAACATGGGTGGAAGGGTCAAATTTTGTTTATTTTTTAATGCCGAGATAAAAGAGATAATGAAGAAACATTGTTGTTGTGTTTATTCAGTAAGTCTGAGAATAGGATATTATAAGGATAGGATAGGATATATTAATCTCCTTTATGTTTTGTGGTTAGTCCACAAAATAACACCACATTATTTTGTGGTGGACTAACTACAAAATAAAACATAAAGGAGATTAATTTAAAAATATTGTCCGCGAAATAAAAAAACAAATGAATTGGACCATCCTATTCTCAGACTTACTGAATAAACAACAAATTTCATGAGAATCGGTTTCGGAAGAGTTTTGTTGCAAACACTGTAACATGAGAATTTTATTTATTGGGTATTAAACTTTACTGTATTTTTTCAGAAGAAAAAGGATCAGTGCCTGAAAGTGGTGGTGCAAATGGATACATACCAGCGAAGGTGCCCATCACTATTACTGCCAACCCCATGCACGCCGAGGTAAAATGTTATAATGTGTAAAATAATATAATATTATAAACGCGAAAGTTTATGAGTATGGATGTATAGATGAATGGATGTTTTTTACTCTTTCGCGCAAAAACTACTTAACGGATTTTGAAAAACCTTTACAGGAATATAGCTTATAAATTAGAATGACACATAGGCTATAAAGTTCAAGCGAGTAAAACCTCAGGCACAGCTAGTGTGTATATATATTATGGTAAAATAATCTATTCTAATTTTATAAATAGTTGACCCACGCAACTTCGTCTATTGGTAATTATATAGTATCTCTTAAATAGCTATAGCTCATAAATGGCTATCCTAAAAGGCTATAAGAAACAAAAATCGGATCAGTAGCATCGAAGATTATGCCGAACATTCCAACTTACAAACTTAACCTCTTCATAATATTAGTATATCATAGATTAGATAGAGTTGTTGTATTGATCATTGTGGTTCAGATTTCATGCTGCTTGAACAATTCATAATATATTACTAGTTGTACATATACCGGGCGCTGGTCGCGTGGAATATAGCTGTGTTATTCCTTGATAATTAAGTTAAAAATATTTTTAAAATGGGTTAAGATATTTTTGATACATGACATACTACATTGTTATGTTTAAATCTATATTGTGTTTAACAAGACATTTTATCTACCATATTTGACGCAATAAAATATATTATTATTGAGTTTATCGATTACAACTAATTAGAATACGACAAATATTGATGTTTCTCTTTGGTCTATCAGTGTAGTAATTAATACTAACAGGGATGACCTAATTTTGTCCGATTGTCAAACAAAGCTAATAGTTTTCAGATATCAGTTGTGTATTTATGTACAACGATGTATTGTTGCTGTACTGTTACATTAGCATGTTATTTGATTTATCGAGGAAAACCTTATTTGCGGTTACGACGCGGGTAGAAAATAATAATGGCGGTAAAAAAACAAAAAATGAATGTATTTTAAACCAGTATTTAATTAATATTTATAGTCCTAACTTCAAGTAATATTCGTAAATTTGGTGTGACATCAGTTATTTATTTAACAGCTGGAACAATTCAAGTTACGACACAGACATACTTTTTTTATACGAAATGAAGATAACGGCAAACTAACGACACCTTTACGTCCACAGGGAGGTGATGGTGGGGTGGAAATGTCCTTTATTCACAACAATAATACCGGAAATGATGACACATTACCCCATTCTAGGAAGAACGGCCCGGCTCGACAATATGTGTGAGATGAAATAAAGACTGGGGTCAGTAACCGCCAACGAATTACGTGTTGCCACATTTCTTAAATACAATTGGTATAATAATGTGGCATATTTATAAGTAAATTGTGATAACAAAATCGTTTATACAGTGCGGGACTTGTAACAGTACAAAATTATATTTATTTAAAAAAAGTGACGTGACGCATACAAAATTTGTGTAAATTCATAGACTCTTAGATCTGAACATTACACGTCACGCGTACTATTTACAATTAATGCTAATATTTAGTTATAAGTTTTACAATTGATTTTATTTATTGTAACTGCCTCTAACTCGTAGAGATAGGTATTTGTTATAGTATATATAAGTAAAATAGATCTGACGTTCTCATGTTTCCGCTGGTATTAAGGGTGTGGTAAGCTTGTTACGCTTAGATTTATTATTTCATATATATCAGAACTAGTGCTTGGGCTTCAGTATATTTGGGGCCTTGAGCACTTTAAGGTAATGAAGCCCCGAAGACGGCAGGGGACTATTTTATTAATAATAGCAAAAAGGAATAAGGGTAGTAAGCAAAAAACTAGAACTAACTTAATGGATCTCGGGAATCTATGAGTACATCTAGAGTAAAAGAGCTCAAAGAATAGGGGGATCTGCCGATCTACTCTGGGAACTAATTCTATTTTAATGACATTGGATTTCGCACTTTGTTATTGTTTTGTCTTGAATGAATTTGAAATTAATAAATTGTAGTAACGTACAATATATTAATTTCATATTTCGTATTCAATTAAAGAACTTATTCATATTGTAATAGATTAATTCGATTTAATCTTGATTACGCTTCAAAATGACTATACGAAAATGGATTGTATTGAAATATTATATTGAATTTATACTATAGAGTAGACCTGCAGATCTTATGTGTGCATATGGAAATACGATTGCATTTTGATGTTGTGTACCTCTGGAGGTTGAGTTACAAGGTAGGGACATGTAATAACTAGTTCTATGGAATGTTTTAGGGGTGACAATGCATGAAGAGCATCACGACGATCAGTGATAATGTTAAAATATATGTGATACCTACTGTTGAAAGCTGTTTAGATTAATATTGCAAGTTTTGGAATCCTTTTGCATTACAAATTAGCGTCACATTAGATCCATCCACGGATATTGTATTTATGAGTATTATTGTTTGTATTGGTCTGGTTGGTTTTATGTATATTATGACTGTATTCAGCAAAAAAGTGCATTCAAGTATCTAGTTGTCTTCTACCCATCATAACACAAGCTCTGCTTAGGACTAGATGGCGCTATGTGGATTGTCCAGGATTTGATTGTATTATGAACTAAACTGTTTTGTAGATGCTATAACTAGCACTCTTAATTGCGTCTCAAGAGTAGGTTATATACTTATAAAATTGGATTGCACTGTAATGCATATTGAGATTAGATTGAAAAATGTACCTGCAAATGTACCGTCACCTTGTTTGCCATTTTCATTTATATAAAAACCTAAATAGAAATATTTTATACCTACACGTATAGCAAATATATTTTACATGGCAATGTACTTAAAAGTATTATAAATTATTATTGAAATGTGTTGTTCTTTGAACTTTGCGTTATCAAGTTTAAGCTCGTAACAGCTGTACGTAGAATATCTATTTAATGTATGTATGTTATAATTAACAAATAATTAATAGCTGCTATACTTTTAAAAGGTTGTGATGCCATCTATGCGTATTACATACATATAGTTTATATTATATTCCAATTTATATTTAATAAATAGAATACAGATATCGTCGGCAAAGTGCCAATACCTTAAAACTGATATTTTTGAAAAATTGGACTTTATTCGACTTAGGTATAGGGTTCAATTTCAAATGTATGTTCAGGATCTCGCAAATAAGAATTTCATATTCACTTAAATATTTCCAAGTATATAAATATTTATTATTTAAATATGTTTGTAAAATTTATATTGATATTATTATTTGGTCGACTTCGATTCTCTTAATTGGAGAAGATAATACAAGTACGAGTATTTGTGTATGTACGAAAAGACAATGGGTAAATAAGCTTATGATAAAACTGAATCTTATTAGTACTTAATTTATTGACATCGTTCAAGTTTGTATGTGTACTAGTATTCTCAGTGATAACTCATTCTGATGAATTTAAATCTAATTCAGAAGTTCATCATTGAAAATGTAACGAATAAAGATCCCAATAAACTATATCTCTCATTTCTATTCATAATACAAGATTAGCAAATGAAATATATCTTTGATACAGTTTTTATGTATTCCTTTAAAATTATTATAAAAACAGTATCCAGCGAAATCTGCTGATCTCACGTGTTTTTAGAAAAACTTTGTTAATGAGCATCGAAATTACTTTCTGAACGACTCCGTTTTAGTGTTTTGTTGTGCGTTTATGTGTTATTAAGTCACTGTATCTTAAGATTCAAGTTAATCTATCAATCACATTACATAGATTAAATTTAAAATTTGTTTTAAATCATATAAAACTTAATATTGTAATATAGAATGAAAATTTTTGTAATAATTATAACTCATATTTGTTAAAGCAAAAACGTTCGTACTACCACTACCACTACTTTACTTTTGTTCTATAAAACCTACACTTATTTTAATGTAATCTTAAAAATCGCATTTATTGCACTTGTTTATTCGGACTCATGTTCTAAGACTGACGATGAAATTAATTTAAGGTCAATAAAGATATTGTGTATCAGTATACTTAATTAGGTATGAATGTACGACGTGAAATATTATTTTCATTGAATTTTATTAAAAATAGACTGATTTTATAATGGTTTTTATTTGTTTTTTATTTATAATGATGCGGCATTGTACATATTTATATAAAAATACTATTACTTTGACATAAAAATCAAATATATTACGATTATCTCGAAATTTAATGTCGGTCATAGTTGAATTGCGAATAGGCTTCTTTTGCGAAGTTCTTACTTTTTATTTTAGTGAATTATGTTCATCTGTATGAAGTATTTCTTAAATAGATGCCTTATATATATTATGTGTAATTCAAACTGTATGAAATTGTAGCAAAAAATATTTTGTATATTTTTTGCATATTTTTCGACTTTTACTATATTTTTTTTTTATAATCATACATTACAAAATTTACTACTTAAAAAAGTACAAGAAATTGTATAGACAACATATTTACATACATATCTGACACTTCCAATATTTGTATATTAATTGTATGTTGAAAATTACGAATTATTAAAATAACCAATACGTCTGAAGAAAATATAGGATTTAAATAAATAATTTGGAAACAAAAATGTATTTTATTTGACTTTTACTATATCAATTATATAACCTGTTATTTTTTAAATTTGTGTTCATAATTGCAATAATATTTTATAACTATTTACGGGAATTGAAAAGACAACTTTCTAATATTGTCCATTCTAGTACTGGAACTTGACTTTGCATTATTTATTGTCATTTTACATCCACTTATTCTGTGCCTCTTGTGTTTCTAGAAGTGGTTTTAAATATGGTATTCCTGCCCAGTAATGTTATCCGAGGCTGTGTGAAATATGAATTTTTTTCTTAGTATTTTATTCTAATTACCAGGGTTGTATGAGCTAAAGTAGCGTATCCAACTATAAAGTGACGTGATTATTGGCAAATGCAGTTTCTATCCTTTTTATTATATTTTCTCTCTCATATCTGATCCAGGTGCGACAGAGACCATCAATGGTAAAGTGCGACAGAGAATAGTGCTATTATGCACTAGGCTCACATAAATCCAAAGAGTTCTCCAGAGGTGGTGATCCAATATAGTAGTAATTTGTGGGTGTTGCTTATTCATAAAATTGGTTATGACAACGACATTGGTACCTAACTTATTAAAAATATCTGAAATATCATAAAAAACTTGTCACTATAAACATTTCAGTTTACTTTTCATACTAAGATTGACAAAACATGGATAAAATAGCATCGTAATTGTGATTATATTTTTTACGTACATATTGCCTTGTGTCCATACAGTAACTACGATCGATTGGGTATTATGTATTCTGAAAGCTACGTATAAACCCACCTGCGTTTTCTTCAATATATTTCAGTAGCTATGTCCATAAATCTATTAATGATTTTAAAAATGTCGTCCGGCCTGGATTTTGTAAATAGTCTAAATTAGTCGATTGATTGTTTCTTAAAAATTATTATATCTAACGCGTATATAGCGCTCAATGAAATACTTTTGTCAATATAATTATAAAGAGTAAATACATACATCGGTAATTAATTACAATTTAATATTTATAACGTAACTCTAGGTGACCGTTTAAACTCTTTGAGAATAGATTTAATTACACTTATCTATTCCTAAACGTCATATTATAACCATAAATACTGGATTAACATCGCTAAACGGTAACTCTTTTTCATACAGCCCCTGGTTTTAGTACACAATCCGACACTTAAATAGATATTATTAATTAATATTTTTTTTGTATTCATGTAACATGATTACCACATGGTAATCGGTAGTATGTAATATTATGACTTATTTTCTCTTATTAATTGTTTAACCAGTTGTTGTATATTGAATGTTTTTTCTATTTTATTACTTCATTGAATTAGTGCTAATCGGTGGTTTGTATTCACACACTTAAATTGTAAGTAAGAATAAATTATTTAAAAGAGCAACACACAAGTTTCTTGCTTGTTCTTCTTGTGATGAGACAGCATTCCGAATGAGCGGTAGATAAAAAAAAATGTTATGACTATTCAAAAGTGCTTCAATGTAAGTTTATTTGAATAAATGATTTTCTATTTCTATTTCTATGTTATCTGTGGTTATAGTGTTTATTGGTGAATTCACAGAAAACCTTTCTTTCCAAAAAAAGATTTTGTTTATACTGCATTTAACAATGTAATAAAGATTTTTATAAGCTAAATGAATAAATAAATGTATAAGTAAGCATCTACAAATTATTTTATTAAAACAAATTTGTTAAACACATTTCGTGTTTCACATTTTATTCAAGTTAAAAAGATGTTATTTTTCGTAATACTTAAATAATTTTACAGCCATTATTTTTATACAAAACGTTTAAAAACAAGAACCAGAATGGTAGGTGAGAACCTAAATATCTTTTAATAATTTCATAAACAGGTGTTAGGGTTATTTTAAAATTGTATTGCAACGTAATACTCGGAATATTTCGTATATTCTTTTGTTTATGCTCATAATAATGAGCAAGTTTACCGTAATTATACCTAGTCTTTAGGAATGGCATCGCTTGCGAGATAACCCGTTTCAGTACAGTATGTAGAGTTTAAGGGTAAGGGGATTGTTAGTAATGATGACTAACTATCTTGTTGTTAGTAATGTCACGTGGTTTCCTCTGGAAACCGTTATGATAAAATCCTGGTGAATTTACTATGGGCTAACTGCACTCGTGTTCAACTTATTGTTATTATTATTATAACATTACCTCTTACCGTCACTTTGTTGTCAGTTACAGAAATAATCTCTTTATAATCTGTAGACCTGAAAATAGAGTTAATCATTCCATGCTAGATTTAACAGCATGCATAAAAGCATATTATATAAGTTAATTAACGTTGCGTTTTAAAATATGGATGTCACGCGCCATTAAACGGGAACGGTAATAAGGTAAAATTTAATAATGAAGCAAAGAATCAATAGTGACGGGACTGATTTTTGTAGTCGGATTTCTGAATCGGAAAAGGTTCTGAATCTATGGAATTCTGTAGATGTTTATAAATCAACTATTTTTGTACCTTTTGTACTCTTGAACGAGTGCTGCTTGTAGGAACTGGCTGTTCTAATCACTACGACTGATTGAATCTTATTGTCTATTTATATTTGACCCTAATAAATTAGTGCTAGTTGGTAGTTTGTATTCACACGTTTCGACTTAAAAATGTAAACGATTATTTAAAAGAGCAAGAGACAGTTTCTTGCTCGTTTTTCTTATGATGAGACAACTTTCCGAATGAGCGGTAGACTAAAAACACTGTGATGACCATTCAAAAGAGCATAAATTAAGTTTATTCGAATAAAGGATTTTTATCCTATTCTATTCTTTGTATGAAATTTGACGTGATGAAGAGAAATGGTGACCAATGATAAGAACAATTGTCACCACTTCTCTTCACCACACAAATACAAGAACATAGATATATTGATTAAACTAACATTTTCATGCTATTATTTATCAAACAGTCTTTATTATTCCTATATTTTCTGTCATCTCATGCAGGGGGAGGCCGTTAAAAAGAAAATTGAGTAAAAATATAACACCTTTGTCATTCTCAATGGAATAAATTGAACAAAAAAATGTTCGGGAGAGCTCTTTGTGTGCATCTGAAACTTTGTAATTTTTTAAATATCTATTCGGACCTCGGGTCACGGGTATTTAAGAAATTCCTGTGTGTATTGTGTTTAAGAAGAAAAAAGAAATAGAACCAGCAATATTGTTAGCGTTCATTAAATTATATCGCCTGATAAGATTTTATATTTTTAAGAATTGCTCGCGGCGGGATTATGTAGGCATTGTCTTTTCATATCTTATTTAAACACGTTTTGTTTCATAACAATGTATTTTCTTCGAACATTCAAAGCGAGTATAGTACGAAAGAAAAAGTGAAGTGAAATTATTTGCTATTCAAACATTCAAGGAACAATTGAGAGCGACAAAGCGCCTCCACTAGACGTGTATTACTTTGAATTTCGTATTTGACTGCGTCATGTTTTTTAAAATACTGTTGATTTATGTTAAACGTATTCATAGCAATTAGAGGGGACGCTAATTTCCATTAGGAAGTCTCGTTGTGTAGAATAATGAAACTCTTAGTCGGCGTTCCGGTCAATTAGTCGCGACACGTAGGTACCTACCTAGTCGGATAATTAAAATAAGGGAACATAAAGCTAATATATTTATATGTATCTACAAATACAGGGGAAATAATCACTTAACAAAAGGGTGTAATTATTAAGGTGCTTTCCGCTCGGTTAACTGATTGCTTTCATTTTGCTGAAAGAAAAGTTCGGTCGGGGAAACGTTATTGTGGGAATTTATTCACGACCTATTCATTGCGGTGCCATAATTTAAAATTCTAATAACTAAATTACGAGCCTTTTGCTGTACACGAGAATAGATGATCTTACAACATTAATAGCTGTTAACTGCGACATCGCCTGCTAAAACGAGAACGTTATTGTTTTCCAAAGTTTTAGGTTGGGTGCAATATTCCAAAACTGCTCCATACCTATATGTATTATATCCATCATCAACTGACTCCAAAACAGAAATGAGGAGATGATTCTTTCTCTTTTTATGTATTTAGTGTTATCTTCGGTTTTGATACAGAATTAGATTATTATTTTTGCAACTAGTATAGTTTACACTTGTCGATCGCATACAAAATTGAATTTAGTGAATTAGATTTTTGTTGTTTATGGAACAGGAATGTCAGAAAAGCTGGACGGGCCTCCTGATGGTAAGTCACAACTGTCGCATATATATATATATATTGACAGCTGCTGGGATATCACGTCATAATATGATGCCTGTACCGGTCATGCTTAATTATTCCAGAGGACTAAATATGTCATACTGCCATAGCTCACCCTCTGTTCGCATCTCAGTTTACAAAAGAGCTGCTTGTCTTCTTTGTAAGCTGTGATAGAAAGTACTGTGGCAGGTTGAAATGGGCGAGACAGAGGTACTATTTAGATGACTTTGTACAAAGTCGACCTCTGACTCTACCGCTGACACAGAATATAAAGCAGATAGAACAAGTATCTATGTTCTCGAGTGGATACGCCGCGAGGTTAAAAAAGATTTTTTTAATCGATAATGATACAAATGGACTTATGACATGCCGCTATTTTTACTGACATATGGAACTTTGAAACTGGATATGACTATCCAGTTTCAAAGTTCAATGATGACTCATTGATGATAGATTTCAATCATAGCAACAAACGAAGGCGTGTGAAGGTAGACGAATATGTCTGCCCTTAAAAGATTTTATTTACCATTACTGCTGTTCT